CTGTGAAACTATCCCATAAAACAAAAATGGCCATAGAAAATGTATATAAAGTGGTCACTGTGCTCTGGCCTCTTACTGTCTCTGCTGCAGCGGTGCGGCCCTGCAGGCCGGCCATGCTGAAAATGGGGGAGAAAGGCTGAAGCCAGATGAGAGCAGTGACACGAGACGCAGACTTTTTTGTCCTCATTTTTTCCACTTGTCTATTTTTATCTTCCCAGGGTCTGGAGTGGCTCTCATTTCCAATTTTGAGCAGCTGCTGCGCGGTGTGTGGAGGCCCGAGACCAATGAGATCCTCAACATGTCATTGTAAGTCTGTGTTTCCTGCTCTGCAGCAGCTGATGGGAACACATACTCATCACTACCTCATCCAGCATGTAGGCTGTTTTAGATTAGCATGTAACCCAAACCCATAGACAAAACTAGAACTTAAAAGTAACTGTGATCACAGTCAGACCCAAACTACAGTCAATCTGTTTGAAACACACAGTAAGTTTGTTGAAGATACTATATGTAGTTTGGTAGTTTGACATTGGTGCCCCCTAGTGGCAGCATCCATAAGAGAGCCCTCCTGGCAGCCTGTAATATCACTGTCAGATGAAAATATATTACCCATGGTTTTTATCATGGCAATAGACACTTCAACTTTATTATAAGGCTTTTGATAAGCGTAAGAGAATTTGTTCAAACCTCAGAGGTAACAATAAACTTCTAATAAAAACATCACATTTTTCAATAATGACAAAAAAATAAAAAAATTTAAAAATGTTTGCCACGATCTCCCACTCCATCTCTGATTTCTGCCCTAGTAAACAATATGATGGACAGATTTTTGCTGACAGTTTGTCTTTCATCTCCGCAGCCCGACCAAAGCCAGTCTGTACGGAGCTATCCTCTTCACCCTGCAGGAGGCTCATTGGCTGCCAGTGTCCAAGAGCACCCTCATCCTCGTCTTCACCCTCTTCATGGCCACAAGCAAGGTGCTGCTGTGTGACATGTAGTTGACAGAGCTGATTTAAGTCTAGAGTTCTGATTGCGTATTGTGTTGTATATAAGAAGATGACATTTCGTCCTTCATGAAAGGATTATGCGCCAGAAATAAAACACCCCACTTGCTTGTCATATGTAAATTGTCATATTAAATTGCGGCTAAATTTAAACAAGAAAAAAAAAACACACATGAAACACTATTTGTGTTTCATCGGCTTTCCAGGGAAACACACTTCTGTTTCAAGCACCAGTGAACCTGTGGATCAGTGTTTTGATGAGATCCTTGCTTTGTTTTATGTCAGACCAGCACATGCACAAGAACGCACAACAAGTTCATTTGTACAGCACGTTTAAAGAACAAGGCAATTCAGAGATATAAAAGAAACACAAGACAATATCAAATGAAATTGAACAACAGGAGAATAAAAGGTCATTACAGTTCAGTGACATTGCACTGCGAGATCTCAATTAACAGACACAAATTTGATCAATGGTAAACACCGATGCAGCAGAGGCTGAGATATCTTCAGTTTTTGTCCCTTGTATGAGACAAGGTCCAAAAATGCTGGATCCTACAATTCCCATGTTGCAACTCATTTGCATCTTTTGTTATTCCCTCCGCTCCTGGTAAACATGTTTCAAACATCAAAGATAATCAGGGTTATTTCATCAGACTTTAGAAAGTTCCTCCAAATCGGCAGATAATGTCATAAAACTGTTCTTCACAAACTGACTTGAACTCGTCATGATGAGTAAACCTAAAATCCTAAAATCTTCCCACTGTCTCCATCTTCCTTCAGGTGGTGATGACCGCAAGACACTCTCACGGCTCCCCCTTCGCCCTCATTGAGTCCTGGGTTTGCCATCTGCTGTTCGGCTCCCCACTGGGCGGCTCTGAGGAGGACCACCACCATCCTCCCGCCGCCACTCCATCCTCACCTCTCAAAACCAAGGAGGAGCTGAGCGAAGGCGCTCGCAAGAGGAAAGCCAAGAAAGCCGAGTAGGATGTCACGCTGCACTGATGAAACTGCATCTGACTCGCCCTCATGGCCTCCACATGATGGGACTTCCCATTCCTTTCTAGGGAAAGGGGCAGTTTGATGTTTTACCAAATGAGACCCTTTCTGTTAGAGCCAAATGGTGCTTTCTGCATTTTACACAGCATGAGGACTCTGTAAATACCAGAGTAAATGTTTCACACTGCAGCCCAACCTGGACATTTTAGACCTACTTATTTATGCGTTTGTGAACATCTGTGCCCAACACTGTGTGGTGATCCACGTTTGTAGGAGCTGCGTGGTCGTCCTAGGATGGCCTTCGTCCCACATCAGTAGTTGTGTTACCAGGTGTCGTTGGATTTCTTTTAATCCACCAAACCGTATTTTATTAAAGAAACAGAAAATGCAAATTAATCTGACTCTCAATCAGAAATTCAAATGTGAATAAAGCATAAACATTGCTGCTTTTTACATTGAGACGGAGACAAATTCATGTCTTTGAATAAAATTAAGAGAAACACTGAGTCCTGGTGGTTTTTAATTTCCTCCCCTTATTGACATAAAAAAATTTTTTTTTATGATCTCTTTCCATTGGTTGTAAATGTTTAAAACCAGTGTTCTAGATATCGTTTCAACATCTTGTCTCCACTTTTGGCCCAGGTCTAGATTCAGCAGTATGTATCATATTACATTTACCAAAGTGCCTCAACAGATTGATTGTACAAAAACAGGTTGAAATATTCCCCTTTTTTTTTTTTAAAAAAAAAAGAAGAAAATAAAATTTTTAGGACTTAATGCTGCAACACACACAGGACAGGAGTCGGGTGGCAGTCAGGAGGAAGTCTTCATAAACTCTGAATTATGTAACTCTGAGGCTGTTGGGAGGTGACAGGAAAGGTCTGAGGTCAACCCGAGGTCGCGTCCTGAGAAACCAGGAAGCCCCCTGCCGTGTTGACAAACTCTTGTACTACAGGCAATAAAGCATCACTAATGAACTTTACAGGAGGCTTGTTGCTCTCGACCTTTAACCTTAACATTCCTCACAGCGGCAGAGAGGATCGGGGAGGTAAGAGATCTGTTCGCTGCATTTTCAGTTCACATTTGTAGCACTGGTGGAGCTCAGTCACACACCTCTAAAGCTGAAATGGCCCTTTATTGTAGTTGGTTGTAAATACAATTTTTTACAATTTTATAGGAGGTTGCAGCCAATGACTCTTTTCCTTATGGATTCATGTGTTGATAATTTTTCTGATGAATCCATTAATTCTTTGGTTTGTCCGACCAACAGTCTAAACCTCAAAATGATATAATTACCTGTAACTTAAGACAAAGAAAAGCAGCAAATCATCACATTTGAGAACCTTAGAAACCCTTAAGGTGAAAGAACGGGAAAACTGTTTATTGAGGGAATTTTAATCATTAATGGTTCCCTCCATCCTTTGATAAAACACATTATTGAACCAGTTAGAATTAAATCAAACTTTCATCCCTTATTGATAACAGTTTAAAGATGAGAAAGAAGATCTCAGAGATGTTATGTAATTTCTTCCACTCCACAAAAAAGTGTCCAATTCTCCAGCGTGGCGACAGAAACGAGATGTTGTGTTTGTTTTTCCACTACGGCCCAGAATGAGACTTCCCCGCTCCTTTGGGCAAGGCAGCGAGAAGACGAGGGAGTGGAGGTGGTGAGAGCTTGTCAAAGTGATCTGGTCCAAAACCCCAAAACCTTCAGTGTGAGGAATGTAACCAACATCTGTCCATCCCATTACTGAAAAATACGAACACACACACACACACACACACACACACACACACACACACACACACACACACACACACACACACACACATTCCTACTTTACAAACAGTGGACCATCATTTCTAATTATTTATGAGAAAACAACAAGAACAAAAAACCTCTTTTTACTGAGCCCCATAAGAATCAAACTCGTACCCACAAACCTTCCAAAAAGTTCTGTAACAACACGAGCTGCATAGTCAGATAATCATCCCTCATTTTCTTGAGTCTTATAAATAAGTTCTTTTCGGTCAAAGACACTTGAAACAAACGTTTCATCTGGTTGTTGGGCTTCAAAATTCACCAAAGGACTGAACCCACTACGTCAAAACTTCAGAGAAAGCCTCTGACACCCTAAGCCTTTGCTCTGACAATTAAGAGCTGTGAGTCTTCACTTTGGGTGTCGGGATTTAAAATTCATGGAGCCTCATAAAATCAAGCCCAGAACTGATTTGCTCGAGTGTCTCAGTTCAAATATCTTTTGATCATTTGTCTGACCAAAGAGCTCATGGTCTTAAAAGACTGAAGCTCTAAAGGTTGATCTTTAGGAGGCTCGGTGAATTTTGTAGTCCAAAACCCAAAGTAACGATTGAAAAGCGCTCATAGGGGAAACACCCAGTGTGAAGGGGACCTGGTGGTGCGATGGGTTTGTTCACAATCAGTCAGCCAGTGGTGCAGTGTGTGATTCAATTCCTGCCCGTCGCCAGTACCTGGAGCATCAAAACCAGTCCTGCTGCAGAGCCCCAGTTGGATCCACACTGGCCCTGCAGTGTGTTGCGTTCTTCTAGCAGGCCAGTTTGTCTAAAATGCACTGAACCGAATACACCAACCAACCGACTAAAACCCCCTTTTGAATGTATGTAGCCCTACCTAGCTGTTAGTGGAGCATTACCAGTCCTTTCAATCGGGCCACTTTGGCATGACCTCAATGGAAACCACACAGAGACTGATGCTTCTGTTATATGTGGGGATGTATCCTCATTTCCAAAGAAGTGATTTGTAGGACTGGGATTGGGGATGTAAGCCAGGGAGTGGGGGTGTGAGTGGGGCGGATTTGTTAGGCGGGGGGGGGGGGTTGGTATAAAGCCAAAGCAGGGGAGGAAAGACTAAAACTATGCGGGAACCAGGTTTGCACGGGGTCCACTGATACTGAGCTCAAGGAAGGGGAGAGTGAAGACACAAATCTGCTGTACCTGAAGAGCGGCAGAGATTAAACCATGCTGTGGTCCCTGGTGCTGACCTGCGCGCTGTGCATGGGACGACACGTTGCAGAAGGACAGAGAGGTGAGCCAAACTCTTTTTAGATTTTATAGTCATTTTAAATAGGTTTGCTAGATAGAAACTTTATTGTCCTCATTTCACCACACAGCATAGAAATCACTAAAATACACATGACTATATAAGACAGGTAATGACTGCAAAAAGCAGTAGCACAGCATGACAACATGACTTGAAACAAGCTTTGGGCTGGGAAACAATAAAATGAAAACTGACTTATCTCACTGGGAAAATGGCATCGCAAAAATGTCTGAGAACATCCTATAAATTAATCAAAATTAAGCCACAATTTCATTTACAAAAAAAGTATTTGCTTACTATTTTATTTTATTTTTTTAATTACATAACCAAGAATCTGACTTCTCGAGGAAACACAAAATTGACTTGTCAAGGTAAAATAACTCAGAGGACTCTGGAGTTTGAGTATTCCCTGCAAAGCTTTGAGGACATAAATTTATTTACACACAATGAGGAAAAACAATCACTGTGAGCTTTCTGTTGAAGGAAAAAAAAAAAAAATCCTCCAACCTTTCTATTAGTGGTGGGAGAGATTTATTTCCAGTATCTTTTCTCTGTGCTGTGGAATTCTTTCAGTAAACAGAGTTGCTGCTAATGAGAAGAACACATTTCCTGCGCTTCACACTGGGGAGATTTCTGCCCTTATACGGCTCCTCTGGGGGGAAGAGGTGATGTCTGAAGTGACTGAAGGGGGGATGTTGGGGTCTTTGGGTCAATTAGTACAAGCAGTACGGTCCATCAGGATCTGACTACACCTGAACACAAACAGTATCCCAGCCTGGCTGGAGGTTTATGAATCTGACAGCCCCAGGGTCTGTAAACTGAGAACCTCTGCTTTTTTTTGTTTTTTTTCACATTTTTGTGGACTTAAAGAGAAATTTTAGAGTTGGTATAATCAATATTCTTTATAATAACAACATATCAATAATGTGAAATAAATGTGACAACGAGAGCAGAGAATTTTCCCCTGAACTGGCTCGTGACTCCACGATTTTGTTTCACTCTCACTGCTCAGTCACACAAAGTTTCCCTTCATTTTGTAATTTTCTATTGAACTGCTTTTTTTTACTTTTGTGATAAAACTGTTGAAATGTTTCTTTGACATGTTAAAACACAGTGTAACAGTAGAACAATAGGAGAAGACTCATAAAATCAGAAAACAGATGTAGTAATGTCAGTTAGTTACCACCATAAGCTAGTGGTTATACCAGACAAAGTACAGGCTGAAACTCCAGAGTTTATTGATTTGAATAAGCAACTTTTCAGCCTCTCTGCTTTGTAGGATGGTTATGGTGACAGATGGTTTACATTTCATTATCTGCACTGAAAATCCAGATCATATTCAAACCTGGGACTCTTACAGTGACACGCTGTAAAAACACTAGGATGTCCACAGAGTTTAGTTCCTGTAAGCATGCAACATGAAAAACTTACATAACTTTTTGCAACTTACATAAAATTTTGTATCATTCCATATCTGGAAAATCAGTTTTCCAGCTCCAATCAAAACATCTCAGACTCCAGTGAATGCGTGGGCAGTGGATACAAGTGAGGTCTGTGGTGGCTGAGGAATGTCAGGTGTTAGACTATTAGATAAGAGGCAGCGCATCATGTTGTACAGGAGGACATGTGTGTTGTAACCGCTGCCCCCAGTGAGCTTCCAGTCCCAGTATCCACAGAAAAACTGATGAGGTGCAAAGACCTCTAAAGAGGCATCCACCTGGAACAAGGTTTTACAACTGTTTGTTTTGGCGTTCGATGGAGTGCTTCTGTGTACTGTACATGCAGTCCACATATTTTTTGCTTTTCAGGCTCTGAGCTTCAGCACATTTAATTTGAATAAGTATAATGGATACAACATTAAAGTACCAAGTTTCAGATTTAATGTGAGCAGATTTAATATTGTCTTGGAAAATGCTTTTAAGGGAATGACTACCTGAATTCTTGCACCCATAGACATCAGCAGAAGCTCTGTATCATCCCTGGTGATTCTCTCCCAGGTCTTCAGTGCAGCAGCCTTCAGCTGTGGGGTCTTTACCTCTAGTCTGGTCTTCAGCAAGTGAAATGCAGCTCAATCAGACTGAGATCAAGTGATTGACTCGGAGGACTCGAGGATATTCTACCTCCTCACCCTTTGCTTGCTTTGACCATACATTTAGGACAGTTGTCCCGCTAAATGGTGAAATCATCCAGTGAGTTTCGATTCATTTTACTGAATGTGAACACACAGAGTGCTCATGTACACCTCTGCATTCATCCTGTTGATTTTGTCAGCAGTGAAATCCTCAACAAATGCCAGTGTGTCAGTTCCATTGGTATGCATACATAAAAGCCATAACAGAAGCACCACCATGTTTGACAGGTGAGGTTGTGGCTTTGGGTCATGAGCTGTTACATTTTTCTTTGCTCTTTGTTCAGCCTGGCCTTCCTGTGTTTCAGGCTTCCCATCTAAAAGACAACTCTCAGTCAACTCTGAGCCATGCGAGAGCTCTTTTATGCATGAACTAACATTGAAACGACTCAGCTGCCCAAGAAACATTTAGTACCAGTTACTTTTAAACCCTTGCAGTTTGGGCACTATGTATTAAAAGGGTTATATCTCACACACCATTAGTTCTATATCGATGTAACGCTACTCACATTTAAGCTGAGACATTGCACTTTAATGTAGATTCCATTATTTTTTTTCAATTAAATGTGCCGAAGCACAGAGCCCGAACCACAAAAATGTGTAACTGTCCAAATAAATACAGTCTGGACAGAATCTGCCCTATCATCTTTACTCCTCCTGTCTCAAGCTGTTTTGTTTTTGAGCTGTTTGTAATGATGCTGGATATTCACAACTTTTCATGTCATTTTTTATAGTTAAACTCTGCACATGAGTAGATTGGTTCACTTAAGAGGGTAAATCAGCTGATAATATAAATAGTTATGTAATGTATCTCTTCTAATTTTTTTCCAAATCCAGATGGCGAAATTATCAGCCAGATTAAAATGACTAACCTTGCGCTGGCTGAGATCAAAGAGCTTCTGAAACAACAGGTAAAAACCATCTTCACTTACACAGCTGGTGCACAGTTTGCGAGCTCGTCATCTTCATCATACTCAGCTGTGCACAACTCATGAGTCTGTGCACACACACAGGGCTGCTTATGAGATGGTGCGAGGTCATACTTCATAATTATTTCTGCAGATAAAAATTAGACTTAGCTAAATGTTAAACCCATCACTTATCAGTTTCCCAAGAAATAAATGATGCATTTCAGATGCATTTTAGATATGAAGACATAAAACTCAAATACTCTACTCTTGTTTCTTCTTCTACTTAAAAGCTCTAAAAACTAAAATTCATTGATTCATCATAATTATTTAGGCCTCAAAAATGTTGCATTTTAATTGATAACTATTGTGATTAAAGGAGCTATTTGTAAGTTTTGCTAATGCTACATAGCCGCCATTAGCAGTAACAGCTGTTCTTTTTAGGAGTCTTTCCAAAAGCTTCTGCCATTGCAGCCCTACTTCTGCTTGCCGGGACGCTACAGTGATTTGGTATTGGACAGTAACGAGACAGACCAGCTGGACCAGGGCTAGCTGGTTAGCATGCTAACTTCCATAGGAAGGAAATACATGATAGAAGTAGAGGCGATATAAAGAGACAGCTCATGGCTGTTGCTTGAGTTTGCTGCTGAACTCACAACATTTCTTCTAGACCGATAAGTAAACAGCTGTTTATGCAAAGGTGACAAAACCTTACTAAACTTGTATGGGCAGATAATCAGATTCAGTTTGTTACTTTTTGTGTTGAGGAATCATACAAACTGTATGTCTGTGCCAGTAAATGATAATATATTGATCCACTGTATTTTTCAGATAAAAGAGATAGTATTCCTGAAGAACACAGTGATGGAGTGTGAAGCCTGTGGTGAGTTGACCTGCGAGAAACCCTTATAGTACTTAATACACTCCAGTTCATGTTTGAAAGTACATAACTTCCATGTTGAAATTACTCCCCAACTTACATTTTGAAAATGAATTTGAAAACTCTGGCTGCTGTCCTGAGTCGGCTGATAACGAAAGACAATTTCCACATCCATTTTCAATAAGTTTGAAGACCTGGAATTGATAACACACTTTATCCATAGTTTTTTCCCCAGATTTTAAACATGTGCATAGCAAGATGTATACATGACTATTATCAGGACAGAATGCATTAATATTTTTGTGTGTTGATGGAAGTTCTATATCATCATATAAAGCTGATACACCACAGAATCTGTCAAAGCGAATTAGACACAAATCATCAGAACAAAGTTAGATGAGCATTGTATGAAACGACACTTCACTGCACTGAAACACAAGATACTTGATCTTCTCTCTCCTCAGGGATGGGGGGAATGCAGCCTCGTTCTTCCTGTGTGCCCAACCCATGCCACCCAGGGGTGAAGTGTATGGAGACACCTCAGGGTGTAAAGTGTGGACCCTGTCCTGATGGTATGCAGGGTAACGGTACCCACTGCACTGACGTGGACGAGGTACACAGAGATATGATACAATATGTCACGACATAATACATTAGCCACTGAAAACATCTGAGTTACTGTGCAGGGCTTGTTAAAACAAAATAATATTTGTTTTGTGATTGATGCACTTCAAAACAATTGATCATCATCAGGTTAAGTGGTGTAGCAGAGCAAGGAATTGATCATGAATAACATCCTCATGTGTGTGTTTCTGTATCTCTGTTGTTGGCAGTGTACAGTGATGCCTTGTCACATGGGTGTGCGCTGCATCAACACCTCCCCCGGCTTCCGCTGTGGTTCCTGTCCTGCTGGATACACTGGGCCCCAGGTCCAGGGCGTCGGCCTTGCCTACGCCACCGCCAACAAACAGGTCAGCAACGGTGAACACACACACATACAAACACACTGTTCAGCTCCTCTAAACCACTAGATCCACTGTCAGAACAAAAGAAGAAAACAAAGTGACACAGGCTCATAAATTACTGAGCATGGAGATTCTTTCTTGACCATATCACACACCCTGCTGATGCTAGTAAGTGAATCTTGATGATTATTATAATAATAAGATATTTTATAGATAAACTAAATCAATGTGGTTATTTCAGTTGAAGTGGTGGTAGTTTTAAATATTTAGGTATTAAAAAAAATGTGTCATCAATATTTTATTAAAAAAATGAAGACTTACTGTATGGGCAGTAGTATCATTCACCCAAAATAACTGCTGCACAACCTATTTAATTAGATATTTAAAAAGAAAATTGTCAAAAACAAAGATGCTAAATTTAAAAAAACAACTTGAAAACTTAAAACACCTTCTCCCCTATTATGAGACTGTGGTAATTCTGGAGGAAAACATACAGGAGTAGCCATTTTCCCCTCTCTACCTCAACATGTTCGTATTGTCCCTTTCACCAGCTCCTTTCTACATCCATCAGCAACACCTCCTCCCTCTCCACACAGAATGTCAAACAGAGCGCACTGGACCGTTTCAGCACCACTTCAATCTGAAACACAAGACTGCTTTCACTTCACTGCACTTCATTTTGCCTCTTATTTCGATCTTGACATGGAAGCCCATTAAAGTTACTGGATGTTCTTTCTGTCTGCTTTTCCTATCAAGGTGTGCAAGGACATCAATGAGTGTGAGGCCTCCAACAGTGGAGGCTGTGTGGAGAACTCAGTCTGTATGAACACACCTGTGAGTATAAACACTAGGAACATGTCATGCTTGAGGGGAATCTGCTGCTAATACAGTGCTCTATAACTCGTATATAAGAAAAGAGGACTTACAATATTAGAAATGTTGACCATGTCTTCACAACCTGATGCTGATTGGACAGTGTCAGTTCAATCACAAGTCCAGCCAGAGGGCTGGTGGTTATTTTGCCTATAGGTGTAGGTGTGAACTTTGAGCTCTGATGCTGATGGAGTCAGTGCCTCTGTGTATCATCAGGGCTCGTTCAGGTGTGGTCCCTGTAAACCGGGCTACATTGGCGATCAGAGACGTGGCTGCAAGCCTGAGAGAGCCTGCGGGAATGGACAGCCCAACCCCTGCCACGCCAGCGCAGAGTGCATCGTACATCGAGAGGGGGCAATCGAGTGTCAGGTGAACAAATTAAACAATTAGACTTCTTTTCCTCAGGGAAAAGGTTGGCAAGCATTAAATATACAGTAGTAGTAGCTGAGTTTGTACAGAGCTGCAAAACATACCATGAAGCTGTTTAAACATTTTTGACCCAACTCTTTGAAATATAAAACTTTGAGCAATTTGTGCCAAATATTGTGCAATCGCAGGCCTGTTAGAGGACTTAGTGCAGTGCACAACAGAGCCAATGAAAACAGTCGGTACAGTTCATAAAACACTTTCCATCTGCACAGTGTGGAGTTGGATGGGCTGGCAACGGCTACCTCTGCAGTCCTGACATTGACATCGATGGTTTCCCCGATGAGAAGCTGGACTGTCCTGAGAGGAACTGTAACAAGGTGAGCCTAATTTATTTTCACGATACAAAAAACAGTGTAAATGATCACAATGTAGTCATCTGCAAAGAATAACAACTGTTCAGGTCCCACGTAGCTGTCGTAATATATACAGTAAGCTGTATGCTGTGGTACCTAGTGAGAAATTGTAGAGTATATAAAGTCAACTTTTGTTGACACTTTGTCAGAAACTGAAAAGTCTTTGTTTAAGGCCAATGTTTGGGGCTTGAATTGCATTAGAAACAACAATTAGACCATCATGGGACAGTAAAATTCTAAACTTAAACTAACATATCTTAGTTTCAGCTCTTGAACTGAAACACGCTCTTCATGGAAGGAGAAACTGATCCAAAACACTGTGTATCATACACTATACTGGTGCAATAAATGGGTTTTTGTTGTCCTTTTTTGCCTGCCATCTCCCTTTCTTAACTTAATTGTATCTGATTTTTTTTCCTTTCTTGTAGTCAACTTTAATTAATAGTGAGCAAATTTCTTTTCAGGATAATTGCCTTACTGTTCCCAACTCTGGTCAAGAAGATGCAGACAAAGACGGAATAGGAGACGCCTGTGATGAGGATGCAGATGGAGACGGGATCCCCAACATGCAGGTTCATACATAAAAGACAGTGATGAAAAATGAAAATCATTCAAAAGAGATACAAATTAAAGAATGGCTTGTGTACTCACTGTATATGTTTTCAAGTCACTTCACTTCCTGAAACTAAAACAGCGTCTTTTCAGGACAACTGCGTGCTGGTGCCCAACGTGGATCAGAGGAACATTGATGAAGACGACTTTGGTGACGCCTGCGACAACTGTCGTGCTGTGAAAAACAACGACCAGAAAGACACAGATGTGGATGAATTTGGTGATGAGTGTGATGAAGATATTGACGGGGATGGTTAGTATGCCATATGGGTCATTATATATATATATATATATATATATGTATATATATGCACGTACATATTACAGGACAGACAATCCATTTCTTAATGGACTAAAACGGAATGTGAGTATGTAGGTTTTGATATGTCATAGCAATATTTGCAAACATTGATATGAATGAGGCCTGTAACTTGAGGTTTGATTGTATCGTTGATGAATACATGCAGCTATACGACTTCAGTGTAAGAAAAATCAGGGGTTGACTTTTCACATTCACCGATGAACACTTGAATCTCAGGAATCCCCAATCACCTGGATAACTGCAAAAGGGTTCCCAACACCGACCAGAAAGATCGAGACGGAGACAAAGTGGGAGACGCCTGCGACAGCTGTCCTTATGTTCCCAACCCCGACCAGGTCAGAAAACTGTCTTTCATGCTCTTCTGGTTACATACTGCTCCCATGCTGTTTACATACTGAAACTCAACGTGTTATAAGAGTCATTTTAACTCAAAGAGTATGATCATTTTACTGGTCAGTCTGTCGAGCCGAAGTATGAACAGGTTCAACTCCTCAGACAGAAGAGTAAGTAAGAGTAAGAGTAAGGAAGTATAAAAACATTATGCAAAGTAAAGAGGAATGCTGTAAATGGATGTGGTTGCAACTCACACATCAAATATTCATGACAATCAAAGTTAAAGTTAAAAAAAAGAGTCGGACTGTTGGGTTTAGTTTGGTCCGATTTGAATGACAGTGGTCTTTTTCCATGAGTAAACAACTGTCATCAGATTTTGATTCATATTTTGTAAAAAACTGACATCACCTCTTCCAACTGAGCCGCATCAAAAACACATCTCTCATGTACAATAACCAAAACTTTATAATCCATCAGTAATAAGCTGATTCAAGAGAGAGTAGTTTTTCAGGTTCTTCAAGAGCAAAAAATATAAATATATGAATAGTTTTCACCACTAAGCACAATGACCGATGACTGATCTGAACAAAAGGCTTAAAGAACAACTTAAAGTTCTTGTTTTGGCTGCCCTCCTGCTAATGACGTTTATAAAAACTGTCATGTAATTAAAGATGTCAACAGATATCCTGGGTTCATTGCCTTGCTGCCTGTTTTGTCAAAGGTAACACAGACCTTGTTCAGTTTCATCTCAACAATAACTCACATTAACTCTCTCAGATGGATGCTGATAACGACTTGATCGGAGACCCCTGCGACACCAACAAGGACAGGTATCGTGTGACCTAATCAGTCACATCACAAATACAATATTTCTCTGTGTCGTACTGGAAATCAAAAACTTGCACATGACAATAAAATCAAACTCTCGTCTATCCAGTGACGGTGATGGTCACCAAGACTCTCGGGACAACTGCCCAGCTGTCATCAACAGCTCTCAGCTCGACACCGACAAAGACGGCCAGGGTGACGAGTGTGATGATGATGATGACAATGATGGCATCCCAGACCTGCTGCCGCCCGGTCCCGATAACTGCCGTCTGATCCCCAACCCTCTGCAGGAGGACTCTGACGGTGGGCAGCACTCCTGACATATCAAAGGAGAAATTCCTGTCATTTTCTTAAACAACAAATAAAAAAAAAGTTTTCCTCTCAAGTCGGTCAACGACTGCTCTTTAATTTATCTCCTCAGGCAATGGTGTAGGTAATGTCTGTGAGACGGATTTTGACAACGACACTATCATCGACACCATCGATGTTTGTCCAGAAAATGCTGAAGTCACCCTCACTGACTTCAGGGAGTACCAGACTGTCGTTTTAGATCCGGAGGGAGATGCACAGATTGACCCCAACTGGGTGGTGCTGAACCAGGTTAAATCATTGTTTTTTCCTTTTGTTGTTGTTGTTGTATTTTTTGTGTCCCAAAACACTTCTTCTAATCTGATTAAATCTGTCTTATATCCATGGGTTTTTTTTTTTTATCTTGCAGGGAAGAGAGATTGTCCAGACGATGAACAGTGATCCTGGGTTGGCTGTTGGTAAGTGCATCATATCAGCTGTTTAAAGGAATACTTTGACATTTTGGGAAAGTAGCTCATTAGGTTTCTTGCAAAGAATTAGATGAGAAGACTGACACCTCTCTCATGAGTGCTCGGTGAATATGAAGCTACCACCACCAGCTTAACTTCATCTTTTGCCGCCCCTAAACATCAGACCAAAACACAAAATAGCAGCGCGGCAAATTTCTATAGAGATCAAAGTATCCATAAATTGTACTTTGTGCTTTAAAACTGTAGCTGGTCCATTACCATATCTAGTCATACATGTGTGCAACATTTTCCCCCACAGGTTACACTGCTTTCAGCGGCGTGGATTTTGAAGGGACCTTTCATGTAAATACGGTAACGGACGACGACTACGCAGGATTTATCTTCGGCTACCAGGACAGCTCCAGTTTCTACGTGGTGATGTGGAAGCAGGTGGAGCAGATCTACTGGCAGGCAAACCCATTCAGAGCTGTGGCAGAACCTGGCATCCAACTGAAGGTAGTGTGCTGCTCCGCCAATAAGAAAAGAAATGATATTGTAAAGACGCATTCACATTTTAGATTTTTAAATGGCTTTCTTATGCTTGTGACTGATTTCTAAAGCACTATTAAACTGATTTATAAAGCCATTAAATTTACAGCTAATAAAACCTTGGTGTCGAAATACCAGCATATCTCAGGAACGGAGGAGGAAGACATAACCTGTTTGTTTGGGGTAAACCTCAGTGGCCAGCTATTAGCCAGTGGCCTTGTGTATATTTACTTCTTGCTTGTGTCTTTATGTTGGCAATACTCCATTCTTCCTAAAGATATGCATAATCATCCAAGAGCTGCCATGACAAGCTTAATGATCTGCTGCAATCAAAGGGCCAAAGACATCAGTTGGTCGAGAGACTCAGACTTTGTCATTTGTGGTTTCCAAAAGGCCGTGAAGTCAAACACAGGTCCAGGCGAGAACCTGAGGAACGCGCTGTGGCACACCGGCGACACCGGTGACCAGGTGAAACTCCTGTGGAAAGATGCTCGCAATGTCGGCTGGAAGGACAAGACTTCGTACCGCTGGTTCCTCCAACACCGGCCCGCTGACGGCTACATCAGGTACATCAGTTAGATGAGATTGTTTTTAAATCAGTTTAATCTCTGTGCGGTAAGTTTGATCCTTGACATGGTTAGCCTTTAGCTTAGCACAAAGACTAGCAGGTGGGAGAAACTGCCAGCTGCTACCAAAAGAGAGAGAGACAGAAAAAACATATTCAAGCATATTCTAAATGGTCTTGTTTACAGACTGAATAACATATGTACAAATCATGACTCCATGGTTCGCTGTGTTGTTACCTTCTGTTTGTTGGAGTGCAGAGTTCGTTTCTACGAGGGTCCTCAGATGGTGGCGGACACAGGTGTAATCATCGACGCCACGATGAGAGGAGGCCGACTAGGAGTCTTCTGCTTCTCCCAAGAGAACATCATCTGGGCGAACCTGCGTTATCGCTGCAACGGTGAGTGACGTGTGACAGAGGTTTAAGAGACACGATTGTGGCCACAAACTGCTCTTTTACAGCGACATTTTACAGCTACTTGTCGTTGGTTTTGTATTTAAGTTCTAAAGAAAATGAGATTTTAAACTGAGCATTAATGTTTTTAAACTGTTTAACAAAGGTTATTACTGCTTACTACTACTTACCTCAGTTGTTAAAAAGCTACATAGTTGGAAATGGCTTGATATGAAGTAAAATGATTGAAGAAGGCCAAAGAACACGTCTGAACATTTTACTCTCCATGTTTTAGAAGAAATTGAAAGAGCATTCTGATAAATTTGGGTGTGCAAACTTGTTTTATACTTACTGTACAACTATATACTTACTATACAAACACAAATGGAAAATAGGGGCTGTGTAAATGCAGCAATTGTGTAAGAACAGAAAAAAAATTTCCTTCTCCTTGTGGAGTATTTTTCCTTTGGCTGCTCAAACTGTGAACTAAACTGATTCCACCTCACGCTGTGTCTTGTTTCAGACACTCTTCCTGAGGACTTTGACACCTACAGAGCCCAGCAGGTCCAGCTGGTGGCCTGATGAAACGGGGACGAGCCCAGGGAATTCTGGGAACACTTTCCAACGCACAACGGTGTCTCAGAAAGAAAATCATTGTCACGCAAAAGTTGAATGAAAAGCCCAAGAGACGTCTCTGAAATGAAGACGGCAACAGATCGACTGTGCTCCAAACTCCTGACAGAGAAGCGGAAACTTCACGGCTGTAAAAAAAATTCCTCAGAGGAAACCAGCGATTAAAAAATAACAGATAAACAGTTTTTTGAAGAAATTTGTCTGAAATAATATTGAAACGAAATATCATCATCTATATTTTTTATAACTTTCAATGTATACTTTCTGAAGGAAGAACTATTGCAAAGATTAAACTGTCAATATTGAATAAATGTGGATTTTGGTAAATTATGAGCAGTATCTGGATGAATTTAAACTCTAACTTCTAACTGTGATGTGACAATTTATTATGTGCATTTTCAAATATACAGATTATAGCCTCTCAGATCAATAACCAGAGAGTATTAGCACAAAAGCAATTGTGAAATAATTGATTTTAGACGTAACTTTAAATTGTAAACATGTCAAATGCATCAGTGGGAAAAAATAATTGTTGGTGATGATGCAAATTTTCTTGAAAAAAAAGATCAGGAATATTATATTTTTGTCATGTAACGTGTCTCTAAATATCTAGAAACGTGCTCTATAAATGAAAGGTTCTATATGTTATCCAATATTAATAATCCCTCTCATATATTAACTCTACAAACAAGGTCAAACATTTGACTTTAAGTAACAGACATGACTTTTTTCAAACTCAACAGCTTTTAGTGGAAATCAACATTCTGAACATTTCACAAGCATGCACATATCCAAAATAATCTTTTAAATTTTGCATTTTGAAATACAGATTACAAAATAGAAACGATAGCAAAGACAATATACAACAGGATCGAAACATCATGCATGTCCACAGCAACACGCTGTGATGTTGTAAAATGACACCGGACAGTTTTTTTTTTTTGTTTGTTTTTTTTTTAAACCAGCATTATTCTCCAAATCAAGACTATGTGCAGAGAAAAATCTTCCACATTCAATTTAATTGACATTTTTCTTTCATCTTATAAACAAATGGTCACATAAGGAGAATCACATGGCAACAAATAAATAACTACAGATCTTTTACTACGACTTACAGGACAACAGTGATATAATGCTATTCTCACTATAAGCTTTATGTGGAATTTAAACTGTTTTTCCAGAGCCTTTTAGTCAATGTAGAAAACCCTGTGTTATTAAAGGGACATTTCAGACCTAAAACACTCTGGGAACAAGCAGTAAAGACCGAGCAGCAGCTCTTTCCTTTTGCTCTGGGACTGAGGATAAACCTTGAAACACAGGACGCCTGTATGAGCTTCACTCATCTGCTTTTTCAGTTTGGACCCAGATTTAGCTTCACTGCTTTTTTTTAACACAGCATAAACATGGGCTGTGCTAAGAAGTAATGCAAGCGAGGGGAGTCTTAAACTAAAACAAGCAGATGAGTCAGAACCAAACAGTTCATGGGACGTAGTAAAATATACTTTGAGGTCATCCTTCTGTTTAATGTTTGGAATATGGACCTCCAGTTTTTTGTTCATCGGCCTGAGAAGTATGTTTCCAGTATTTTAAAACGCAAATTCAGGCTCTACATGTGAGAAGTAACCACGACCAAGCTTCAGCTCTGATGATCAGTGGTTACATTTCTTTTACCTTATTAACTGCTTCTTTTTTTTTTTCTACATTGTCCTAACTTTATTCAAAGTCGTTAAGTTGCCTAAATTTAATTCTAACCTTCACCAGTGTTACACAGTCATTGTTCACTTTGTGTGACAAGTGAAAATGGCAACTACATTAACACCCCTGTCACATATGTCACCACTTTATGTCTTCATGTCTCATGTCTGGCATCTCTTCTCCAGCACACCATGCTTTATCGACCAGATGTTTTTTGGCAGCTGGGAACCTCTGGTAGAGCGTGGTGTCCCGGAGAAGACCTGGGCCACATGCTTTCATTTTGATGGAATCACCTTCTTCATGTCCAAAACATGTAACCTGCATTTCAGAGTTTGGATCATTTCAAGAAGTGAGACTGTGTTGCAGCAGCGTTCAGTGCAGTTCTCTGTTGGCAGCAGTATGAGTGGCCAAAGTCAAGACGCAAACTGCAACTAACTGCTGCACTGAGGCCGATCTCGTGTCACTGTGTGAAGCGTGAATCGCTCAGTGTGGTTTTCATGTGGGGGATAATGACCAACAGAGAAATACATTCGGAGCGCCGTTCTTTTCCAACACAAGAGCGCAAGCTGCACTGGAGTAAGCCCTTTCTAGTTTTGCATCTCCTAAAATCTTCACAGATAAAAAAAAACAAAACAAATAACAAACAAACAAAAAAAAAAAAACAAGACAAGCCAAAATATAGTTTACAAAGGAAAATATAGAAGTCATCTTTTCTTTGACATGAAAATATCTCCGGAGTATACATCTGGTGTGAAACAGTCAGCATTCACATCGGGCAGAACAGTCCCTGCTCAAAAGCCAGGAGGTTACAAATAAAGTGCCAAGCAACTAGTGGACTAAACACTGCACAAAAACATAAAAAAAATCAAATAAAAAACAGAATTACACTTTACCCAGTCCAGAACCTGACATGATAGGCAACGACAACATAAAACAATCATATCTGATGTCTTAAAACACACTCCACTTCAGCATAGCTAGATTTAAGTCCTGTACATAACATGGGATAAGAATCTGCTCAATGTGTCTGTCATGTCATGCAGCTGACTGCGTAATGCAGAAGCACCCACAACCTGCAGTCTTGGCGAGACAGAACCTCCTTTCATTCTCTCAAGAAAGCCAAAAGGTTGTGATGACGGAGAGGAGGCGGCCGGATCGACAGTATGAGAATCGCCTGTTTACACCGACTCGTAACGCAGTGAGATGCTAGAGTAAGGAGAGAGAGAGAGAGAGAGAGAGAGAGAGAGAGAGAGAGAGAATGGAACGAGCAACAGTCTGGTTTTTCGGGAGGAGGAAAGAGACAACCGAAGAGCAGAGAAGAGAAGAAGACCGGGACCAAAAAACTCCAAGCGTCAGGTCATTTGGCAACAGGCTCAAACTAGGACACTGCCACAGAAAATACATTCTTTTATCATTCGTGAAGTAGCATTATACAGAGATGGAGGTAACAGAGTCACTTAACAGGAGTTAACTGTCGCTCAGGAGAGACCCATACATGCATCCCTTCAGACTTGGTGATAGCTTTATGTTACACAAATCAAACCTGCGGAGCTATAGAAGGCCTTTTCTCATTTAGAGGTTTGGACTGTCAGTTTAGTCATGCATTTTGTTTCAGCTATAGTGTATGTACAAGGTCAGTGTGAATGACTGTTATTCAGCAGGATGAGAGAAAAGAAATGACAGGAAAGCTCAACACACTGGCGTTATTGGAAACGCAGCAGTGACGTTCGGCTCAAAGACAATACGTATTTTTTTTCTTTTAGGAATAAAAACCTTTGGAAACATGTAAAGAATGAGCTCTATACATTTGTTTCAGTGACTCTGAGGAAAAATTCCAACTTTAGATACACAATATCAGCTCCTGGTAAAGTGTTGTGCATTTCTGGGCCTTTTTTTTTTTTTTTGTTTATTTTTCTTCCTTCAATGAGTACCTGGCCCGTGACAAATGTTTCACTACAGTAAAATGTTCCACTGATCTAAAACATTAAGAGTAGGTCAAGTTTGGCATCAGTTCCTTTAGGATTAGAGAGAAAGGGTTTCTTTCTGGAGCAGCAGTTTCGCACCAAAGTTCAACAGTCACACAGGAAGAAATTCATAGAAGAGGCAGAGAGGAAGTATGCATTAAGGTGGACGGGAATTGTGAAAAATGTAGAGACTATCACACGAGTGATTAGAGACAGAACAGGCAGGGTGAGTGATGTACAGAAAAAAAAAAAGAAAAAAAGAGACACTTCATTTCAAAGTAAAGCTGGATTTATGCTTCTCTGGCAAATTCATTTATAGCTCAGCGTACGATTTCACTCGTTGATTGTCATAGCACCACTGCAAAACTCCACGTCCTGCACTCATTATACACTGTACTCTCCAACTAAAGAAGACTACATCTTTTCTTTCATGTTCTATAGGGATACAAAGGAGCTTAATCTCAGAAACACACATTTGTCCAGCAGCTGAAAAGAGATGATCATTCATCATTTCCACTTTTTCTGTTATTTTGTGACGGTCAACAGAGCCCTTGAAATCCTTGTCTCTATAATGTCTGTACAAGTTTGTATATCTTATGCACAAAAGTAATAATTTAGATGTGCAATACTGCAAAAGGGAAAGTTGTGGCTTCTCTAGCTCACAATATAAATTTATGGAGTGATATTGAAGAGGAGATAACTGACCCTCCCTTGAAAATGTGACTGTCAGCGATTTCTACCAGCATCAGCAACATGTCACAGAGAATACAAGCAGGCCAAGCTGACCAATCACACTTCCAGCTGTAGCTCCAGTGTGTAGTTACATTCTTGAGGAGGTCTCCATTACCACACCATCTCCGAAGCATAAATCCAGCTTAACTCCTGGAATGTGTTAAACAATAAAACATCAGCAGGTGGATTTTTTTTTTTTTCCTTTGAGGGTCATTTTTTGTCTCATTTGCATAGGAATCACAGATCTGTTGAAGGCAAACAAAACCTTTGATGGAGGTGTACAGCAGACAAGAAACACTTCAACTGAAACCAACTGTACAACTGTAGAGGAGTGCAGTAAACCAAACGTGATTCCTTTTCGGGAAGGGGGGGGGGGTTGGGAACTTTTCCCAACAGCGCTTTAGGTGAGTAAATGATTAGCACGTCTGTACATGAACATTACAATATACCAAACATGATCCCACAGACCTACACACGACTCTCAGGGAAACTCTGACAAAAGGCTGAAGCGGACCGACATCTGACGTGAAGCTTCAAATTTGACACAATTTGTTTGACACATTTTTGGCAAAAGACAACTGTGTCATGGACGTAGTTAGAGATGATGTCGGTATGTACATTTTCAGATTTGTGTGAACACTTTTAGACTCTATTAGATCCCTGCTTGTTTTGAATGGAACGGGGCCGGTCTTGGTGCTGGCAAAAAAAAAAAAAAAAAAAAAAAAAAAAAATTGCATAAAATACTTTAAATATATAAATACACTCATATTCTTTCTTAAACATAATCTTTACGTAGCCTTTTTCTACTTCATTCAGTTTACTCACTGTAATAAAAATATCCTTATCTTCATAAACTCTGAGACTGCAAGACGGCGTCTAATGAATACAACAATTTGGAGGCATTGATACCGTTACATATCCTTCAATCAATATTTAAAACCCCTATATGCTGTATGGTACTTTTGTTATTGACGACCCCTGTTGCAAAGGTCAGTAGCGTTTTTGTTAGAGCTTCCCTGTCAAGGAGCAAAAAGCCTCCCCATAATTGCACTACTTTTCCAACACTTTAAACCCGTCCTTTTGAGTTTTTTTCATTTAGTTTTTTTTTTTGCCCCACTTTAAAAAACATCAACAATTTGGCTATAAACTGTACCGCTACAAAATACAGTACATTGATTTGTCAAACCTTACACAACATAACCACAAGTATCACTAATCAAAAGTTAAGTTCCTCTCAAATACAAGAAAAATGTTACAATAAGTTACGAAAATACGCTGTCACATTAGACACTTAAGTAGAACAGTAGAATACTCATGTAAGGCAAAATCAGGTGATTTCACAGTGAAAAAGATTTAAGATTTTAGTGTTCTCTGGTTTAAAAACAGACAGCTTCAGTCTGCATGGATATTGGCTTTTCACTGGCAGAAAATGAATTTGGACACGTTTCTCTTGCTTTCTAGTTAAATAGAAATACCTGATGATTTTCTCAGAAAAGAATTAATTCAAATGGCATAAAACCCAAATCCATTTCTGGAAACTATGACATTTTGATTTGACCGCTGGGCTGCAGCATGGCAACGTCTACCACGTCCCACATCAGAGAATGGCACATCGAACACCAAAGAGCAACTATGGGGAGGTTTTGCACTCCTTCATTAACCAAGTAGCTTAACAAACACATATATAAATATGTTAGTAATTAATAAATAGACACAAATTACATCAGTGCAATTTTACACTATGCCTACAGAGAGCATTTTGGCATCAAATTTAAATTATGAAATGGAATATAAAATCTTTAACCAAATAAATAAATAGAACATATAAATACATAAAGCATCAAAACATACAGTACATGATGAAAATAACATTTGGTTGTCAAAAATAAAGCTTTGAGTGTGAAATAGAAAGCCGTTACGGCATGATGGGAAAAACCGATTCATTTGATTGCCGGGTACAGGAAAGCAAAGTTTTTTTCTTTTTTGTTTGTTTTTGAACACAGCCGTTATAACGGGAACGGTTTAGCCCAATGTCCTAGCAGCTTCCTGCTACGAGCAAATTATGAACAAAAACAAATAGTACAGTGGATATGAAAAGAAAAAAAAAAAAAAAAATAGTCAAATGTGCGTTTTTGGAATATATGTGGCATGTAATGGTACACTGTAAACACAGCAGGCTAGCGAAAGCGCTGAGCGACCAATCTCATTCAAAACGACAGCGAGGCCATTCCCCGGCAAGCCACTGGATGTCTTTTTCCCTGTTGTCTTTTGGTGGCGCATCGTTTCAAAGGGCTTCACGAAGTCGAGGGCGAGGTCGGACAGCTGGACAGCCATGCAACGAGGGAGAGGGTTCATCCTGCCCTTTGCTTCTCTCCATTCACAAGTTAGTGTGGTTTTTTTTTTTTTTTTTTCCCCTTCTTGTTCTTGGCCACAGTCGGCCTCTAACGTTACAGCCTGTCCATCCTGAACGTGTCCTCGGTGGCGGGGTCGGCGAGCACCATGTCGGGGTCATTGAGCATGTGCAGTCCGTCCAGGGTGAGTGGATCGATCTTCAGCTCGTCCAGAGGAAACTGAGAGTCTGCGTCGAAGCTGACATCACCAACACCGGCCAGAGAGTTGGTCAGCTCTTTGGAGAGGCTCGGAGGAGACTCGCCTGTGACTGAGAAATGAGACAATAGAGAAAGACGGTGATACTGACGTCTGAGAAACACGGGACAGTCGTATGTTTTTTTACAATAAATTTAAAGAGGTATCTGCATTTCTTAAATGGCAACGGTAACTACAAACTATTTTCTAGTATGTTACACTGGTTATGTTATTTTGAACATTTTAATCAAGCTGTCATTTGACACTTATATAATTTGGGAAAAGTAAACAATAAATACAAAGAATTATTACACACAATTACACATAAAGCCAGAACAAATATCGTTAAAATATTATTTTCAGCTTAAAGGATCATAAAATGCCACCATGTGACATGTGTGGAGAGTCTTTTTCGAACACTGTGCCACAGTTCTGTTGTTTATGTGACACTGCACTTTCCAAAGTAATTGTTGAGATCTCTGAACACAGCGACGGCACTAAAAATAGGTCCAGTGGAGCAACAAACACAGGCAGACTGACAATCATGCGGGCTGCATAAAACAGATTATCTAGCCACTTTATTTAGAGATAAAACAAACATGAGCACCAGTGATGTTACAAAAAAAATCCTCATTGCACAGGACAATCCAAGTACAGCAGTCAGCCTGTGACCTGCGATGGATGTTTACAACAGAATGTGGTCAGACATATTGGACATACATTTAGTAACATTGCTGCATTCTGATATCTCAACTTTCACTGGGGGCGAGTATGACATCACCGTTACTATATCCTGCATTTAACCATAGATAAATTCCTACATGTCATCACTGTCATCTTGCGCTGGAAGAAGAAGGTAATTTCATCCTGGGAAAGAAGTTAAACTCAATACTACTCCGCAGTTACGCTGCAGCATCCAAACTAGGAGGTAGATGTAGTTTTTCCTGCTACAACCACATAACTGTGTCTAAATGAGTCCCATGTGCTCATGGTCAAACTCAAGTGGAATAGGGCAAAAGTGTATCTAATGGACTGGCTGGTGTGGCTACCTGTTAGGATGATGTTGGGGATGTTGCCGTGGTTACTGTAGCCCAGCTGCTGAGAGTCCTGTAGGCTGCTCCCAGTGAGGCCCATCATGGCCGCCTGTGTGTAGTTGAGGGTGGAGCACTGGTTGTAAAGGCTGGTGGAGCTGATGGGGTTCTCGATCATGTTGAACTGCTCCAGCTAGAAATCAGACAATTGAAACGTGGCGTTGAGTCAGTGACTATCTGATGAAAACATTTCTGTCACTGCTGCTTATTGGCTTTCTGAGCGTTCTGAATCACCTGGTGAGAAAGTGCATTGGTCTGCCTCGATGCCAACTGCTGATCATAGAAGGAGTCGCCAAATATACTGCCCACCACAGGGATGTGCTGGAGGAAGAGAAGTAAACCAAAAAATTCAGAACAACTGGTAAGAAAGCAGCAACAATTAAAAACACACACACACACACACACACAAAAAAAAAGCAATATTAGCCAGAGGGCAGGTTATCTGGGCCCACAAGCAGACATTTCAGCGAAGGAAGAACAGAAAACACAAGCAAAACACAAAGTGACACGACTGTCAGACCGAGCAGTGACCGAAGCAAATGGTTTTCTGGATTAGAGCTGTCGTGGTCGAGAGACAAAAAGAGGTGAATGAAACACTCGAAAAAAACTTTAAATAAAGGGATTTTCTTTATGATTTATTATTCAAATTAAACAAACACACCTAATAATTTCAAATGAAAAAAAAAAGAAAAGAAACCCTAAGACATGGAATGGGAGAATGAACATGGTGTGGTTGTTTGTCCCGTCCCTGCAGACAGGGATATACAACAGTGCAGTGATGCGTTGACCGCGGCAGCCCTGTTCATGACGACACAAACACAAATCAATTTGTTAAAGGGAAATTCTGGCATCTGGCAACAAAAGGGTTATTCTCATATTTTAGTTCATTACAACTATTGTTCATTTGCTACTGCTGAAGAGATTTGAAAAACGTTGACTCCAACAAGAACAAGGTTGATGAGGGCAAAGAGCACAATGACCCAACAGCAAAAACATCTATTCAACAGAAACCATCTCAAACACTTTCATCCACCACTCTACCTTATACAGGATATCTAGAGATTTCCTTTCTATGTTTACCATCACTTAGACTAAGAGGCAAGCATTTGAGATGATTTCTTTTGAATTTAAGTGCTTTTGGAAATCTACAGAGGCTCTTTCCCCCACTCAGTGTCACTCTTGCCCGAGCCTTCATGTTCCACATCTCTGCAATGAAAGAGGTGAGTAAAATGTGAGAACACCACCGGGCAGACAAATACCAGGTTTTCCCTTTCAAATATTCTTGCAATGAGAAAAGCACCACTGGACACAGAGTCAGCACTGTGTGATTGGCTTTCTTTTAGTGGTGGAGTCCCAGTCTAACCATTTCCAACGTTAACCTTTTAGTTACTGATGCCGAGGACATTAATCAGTGTGTGAAAGTCTTAGCTGGTCTAGATTTTACCTCTGTACTTTTTCCCTTTTTGAGACCCTCCTCCTCATATTTCCAAGTCAGCTTTCTCACATTAACTAAAAAACCTGTTATTTTCATTTTTCTGACATCTTATCTTTCAGCTTTTGACAGAGTAATGGCTTTTCTTGATGTGGCCTTTAGCCATTAAGTGGCCATGCACCCTGGAAAACACTGAACACATAACGTGTATTATTAAAACACATGCAGCTGTCCTTTCCTTTCTGCCAAATGTTTTATAGAAGATGGAATAAAGCTCTGATGACTCTTCCCCAAAGGAGGCAGCGACATGTTGTGTTTGTATGTATGTAAATAGCAGATGTTAATGGAGGCAGAGTTGTGTTCCAATGACCCAAAATACATGGGAGAATTACTCTGAAATAAAGTCTGTTTGAGGGAACGAACACACAACCAATTAATTAAGAAATGTATTTCAACTAAGTTTAAATTTTAAACCAAAAAACAACTGATATGATATTGGCCAGAATGTAACAAGATATTTTTTTCTGGTAATTACGTTGGAAAAAGTGGAAGTTGTCTTATATTCAAAGACTAGACAATTACATGTTCAGAACATCAAATATTCTTTCTGAATGCAGAGAGGACTGCTTTAACAGGCTCTTCTACTGAGAGTGTTGCATTATGGGTTGTTTGTAGCCTTAAATTTGCTAAGCTAGAGAGTGTTTTCAAGTCTGTTTATAGAAGGGCTGAACGATATGCAAACAAACAAAAAAAAAAGTCTGGAGAATATGATTTGTAGGCCGGGGCGTCTCTGTAGCACCACAATGCTGATGGTGCTAATAATGCACAAAAATGTTGTCACTGTTGCTACTTGTTCATATTGCAATTTTGATTATATTTCGATCTCATTTGCAGCCCTAGTTTATAGTGAAGCTGTTAAGAGTCAGCCATAAATATGTTGTGGTAGTCCAGGGTAACCTGCAGGTGTTTCTGAAGGCTCATGATCTGGTGTTTTGCTGCCACGGAGCAAATATAAGCATCATGATTGGCATCGGGTTCATAGCATCTCCCAACGTTGTTACTGCAGAAAACAGCCAAGAATAACGGCCGGCATGGATGATGAGCTCAGAGACACTCAAGACTGAAAAATGCTTACTGCCAGAGAAAATGATTTTACCGCTCAAACTGCAGGTATGAGACTGATGGGAAGTTACAAAAATGTGTGTTTTGTGTATTACCGTATTTCATGTTTCACTTCTACAGGAGAAAAGGCCTCAATGATGAGGACTTCCTTGTCCTTAGATTAATGGTCTCTTAGGGAAACTTTCCCAACAGGATGAGTGTATCACAGTTGTAGCCAATACACTACTTCATAATTTACCTGTGGAACACTATTTAGTCTATTCACAACAATCTGAGACCTCTTGTCTTCATCCTGCAGCTCACCACAAATGAACATAAGATTCAATCATGTGTAGCTCAAATGAACATTAACATGTTCACAGTAACAAATGGTCGGGCCTCCATCAACAAACTATCGCCACGTTGTCATGCACACAGTGAACAGTGACAGTGGTGATGAAGAAATGAGTTATGCAGCTGTTGACACCATGAGTGGTTAACTGCTGATACAGAGAATGAAAAGCAGCCTAACTCATCTACAATTAGCTTTCCCCCCAGACGCAAAGCCCTTCCCCAAACAGCAGCTAGCTCGGTGGGTGGGCCCTTACTTGAGGCGAGCCGCCGGGGGAGAAGCCTTGATTGGAGACTGGGGAGGTTGGAGACTGAGTGGCTGGTGAGCCAGTCTGATTGCGGTACTGTTGGAGGGAAGAGGGTTAGCTAGCACTAAGCTTCATGCCTGGCACACACAAATTTCAAAGGACGGGGTGTGAGAGGGCATCAGCCAAGGACCTGCTCAGTATGTATAAAGTGTATACATGTAAGTGGGAAGTATTAGGAATCACCACCTGATAAACTGTGGGACAGCTCTGTGGCTGGAAAATGTGACTGTGGAATAGTAACATCTGATACCATAGCTGAAGTTATTGTTGTGTTATAGAGAGTGGTCAAAGGTGTATATGTGTTTCGTATAAGTTTATATAAGCCAATTTCATCCTTTTCATCAACTGCATCTCAAAATGCCTTAGCCTACACAAAAGCTGAGAAAACTATAGAAAATGCTAAAAGTGTCAAATGGTGAGAAGAATTTGTCAGCTTTAAAAAAAACCCTGTTAACATCTTCCTGATCATCACACAACTAATAAAAATGATCTGATAGTCAAGAGTAAATAAGGTGAGTTATTCTAAAAAATGACAAATTAATGTAAAAGCCCTGTAGCATAAAAAGGATGTGAAGATATTCACTGGGTGTTCTGGGTTGAACAATAAAGTGACAAAATGAATAGAACCTTAAGAATAAGCAAAACAGTCCCAGTCATTTCATCAGGTTAACTGTTTTATCTCTGCTTCTAGTCTCTGATTAGACTTCCTGGCTCCTTACCGAGCTGATGCTGATGCTGGCGGTCGTCTGGCTGTCTGGTGAGGGGCTGCTTGCAGTGGCGGTGACTGTACCAGTGGAGGCCTGAGTTGGCAAGGCGATGAGCTGGATGCCCTGCGGCAGGGCCTGCTGCTGCTTCTGCAGGTCGCTGAGCAGCTGGGCCTGGGCCTGAGCCGTCAACTGGTTGAACAGGGGGTACTGGGCGAGCTGCTGCTCCAGGGTCAACGACTCCGTTGGCACGACCTGAAGAAAGAAGCATACACGCTCTGTTTAGGGTTCGTGTGTAATTTCAACTCTTTACCCTCCTAGAGTCAAAGCGCTTTACTGTTATAGAAACACCACCCAGGCCACAACTTTACACTGGCCCAACAGCTCCTTACTTGTGTGATGTTAACAGGTGAGGACAGGGTGGGTGAGAGCTGCTGCGGGGACTGTTGAAGATGGAGGTCAGAGGTGAGGGTGAGCGGCACCACAGGAGGTTGCCGGCGCTGTGCCGTTACAGTCATGGTGGGCTGAGAAGAGGTAGGGATCCCTGGGAAGAAAAAAAAAAAGAAGATGAATACACCTCAACTCAGACCTACTGACTGATGTGACAGTCAGCAATTTCAATAAGAAGACTGACACCAATGACTACATTCTAGGAAGAACCATGTCCTCAAACTCTGGCTGCTAGATTATGGTTAAAACTAGGGCTGCAAATAATGACTTTTGTCATTATGATCATTATGATTAATCCCCTGATTATTTTCTCAATTAATCAATTTGTCCATTGGTCTATAAAATGTCAGGAAATACTCTATTACTCCAATACTATATTTGAAAAGCTAGCACCAGAGAACATTGACATTTATTCTTAAAAAATGATTAATCGATTATCAAAATATTTGCTCAATTCAAGTAACTGTTGCAGCTTTAGTGGAATGCGTAACAGTTTACTGCAGAATAGCATATGACCAAGACACAAGTCCATTGTGCTTTTGTACAGCTCCTACGTGGTTCTTCAGGTTCAAATATGAGAGGCTGTGACTAATTGATGCTGTTGAGCCAAACTGATCATCAGCTCAGAAAGGCCAAGTCATCGGAAATGATGAAAAGGCAGCCAACAACCTGCTGATCCAGACTCAGCACTCATGCCAACACTGCATGTGCTTTCACTTGAGGTCGCAGATATGAGCGTAGAATAGCATCCTGTTACTTTTTGGCATTTTGACAATATTGCTGACATATTTTTGAGCTTTGTTTCACAAATTGCTTTATAGGCAAATGATTTAAAGGGAAAACACAATATCACCAGTAGCAACTCTTAGGTTTGATATCTTCTACTGTTTTACTTTGTGGCTGTTTCAAACTAAATATTTGACCTACTATCCAGTTCCAAATTAACACTAAAACTGATAACTACAAATTTTTTTTTGCGCTACATCAGTGCTCATAATAACAATTAAAGTGAAGTGCGAGTGTAAAGCATACAGCAGTTTTTCCCATCACTCTACCTCCTCACATGGCGAGCATAAATGAAAGGTTGTTACCGTGGCTGGCAGCGCTGATGCCAAGGTGGGTGAGGTTGGTGGTCAGGCTGCCTGTGCTGTTGGACGAGCTGAGGGAGGGGAAGGCCACGGTGTCGTCGGGGTCCAGCGGGGTGGATAGCGGAGGAGGGAACTGGATGTTAGTCAGATCAGGCAGCGAACCGCCGGTGTTGTGTGCAGCTGGGAGCACGGATGGGTTCAATTCCTGGTCTGGTGATGGGAATATACTAAAAAAAAAGAAAAAAAGAAAAGAAAAACAAAGTTCCATCAGTCATGAGAAACGCTTTTTAGTTTTTCTGTGACACAATATGTGGTCTAGACTTTGATCAACAAACAAAGATGCCAATATTTTTTAACTAAAGACACTGATACCTCATGCCATAATTCAATACCTATTTAAATCTGGCCATTTATGAACCAATAATGTTACTGTCGTGATTTTCCTTGAAATTAAAAATCCTTTAAAAGCGCATTTTAACAGATGTAACATAACTTATGTCAGGCCAATAAAACTCTTTTCGCCTTAGCAGAACTTTAATGTAGTGTGACTGGCCACATGGCAGGGAAAACTACAAGGCCCAGTCAGTGAAATATGAAATTGCTCGAGTTTGACTGAAATTACTGAATTTTATGCTTCATAAATGATTAGAATTGGAAATGCAGGCCCATGACAAACATTACAGATGTAAACAAACCTTTAACAGCACCAGAGAACACTTAAGAGCTGTTATTTAGGATCAGTCCGTGTATGAAAATATATTTAATTAATGTGGGAGGAACATTTCTGATTCCTGTACTATTTTAGCATCAGTGATCCATTAGTGACTTGGACAGCATAACATTTATTTAAACCTCATTTTAAATTAAGTGGTGCTGAAAAGAAACAACAGACGCCCTTACAATAATATTAAAAGCACCAATGACCGCTTTCCAGACTCTGCCTTTCACTGGGATCAGATGTGTTATACCAGCATTGGGGCCATTTCCTCTAGGACTACATGCAGCGTGTTTAAGTGCCTTTCCAGTATGTTTCTAGTGTAGCTAGACCGGCTGTCTTGTATCGGTGCACTTACAGCATGACTTATTTATGGCTGTGTAACTAACCCCCGAGTTTCACTGTAAAGAATAATAATACAATACACTTGAGCCACTCACTTGATTCCCGGGACATCACACGCGTTGGGCTTTGATGCATCATCCTGAGGAGAAAACGTAATCATGAGCTGCAAATCTTGTACCTTAACAAGTGTACAGGTTGCAGCCCTTCCCTCTCCCATCAGTACCTTCTTATCATTCCACAACTGTTTCTGCGCATCCTTGTCTGCATTTGACTCTGAATTCTCCGTCCCAGGCACTGTTAGCAGCAGTACTAATTAGTGAAACAGCAAGACACAGTTGCTTGCTATGACAAAATACACAACAATTCAAATCAGTGCAAGAAATGAGTCATCAATATCCCACCCAGTCATGCAGAATATATTGCTGTGCACTAGATTGCCGAGTCTCTAAAAATAGCAAGGTGACCACCAGACAGATTGTGGATGCCAGCCAATCTTGGCTTCATTATAGCAGAGCCTCACACATAAAAAGACATAATCCATGGATAATCAGTGAATTATTGATCCTGCTCTCTAGATCATCCTGAGTCAGCTTCATTAAGAGATGTCACTTCTCTACAGCCAGCTGTGTGCTATAATACATGCTGAAGTAGTTCTTTGCCAGAGATCAGTATCCATTTACTCTATAAATATTTCACGAGGAGTCTAGATCCACTTCTTTGTGACATCAACCCTTTTGTGTCATTTAAGGTTTGCCGCCTGCACTGGCACATTAATAAATAAAAGAGGCCTTGTGTCTTTGTAACTGGATCTTCCGTTACCTCGTTTTGGCTGCAGCTCCTGTGATCCCCCTGCAAACACCTCCTGGGGCTTCGGATTCATGGCGCTCTGGTGTAAGGCAGAGTCCGAATTTGTCCTGTATGTGTTAGAAAGATGAGATGTCAGCAAAATCACTGCCAAATCCACACTGAGGGCAGATAGCCAAGTCTACAGCATCATACCCATCAAGAATCTCACACTGTTATGAACACTTGTTTGCCGTCATTCAGCAAATGTGTGGTCTTCTTTGTGTTGGTTGAGTCTGGAAATTTTGTATCAACACGGACACACAGGTGTCATGTTTTAATTTTTGCAATTGAGCTGTATCCAGTTTTGTGCCTCAGTTATCACTTTGGCAAAATGACAAGGGGAGGTGGCTTACCTTCTCCAGCTAGTGTCTGGCGGTGGGGAGAGGTAAACTGAGCTGTAAGGACAGCTGTCAATGTGAATTTAGTTAAGGCTAATAAAGTAGGCGGGATGAAAAATGGATCCAAGCTAATCCATACTTTTATGTCTCTTGGCTGATTCAACCTAATAGACCTGATACATACACACAAGTGTTACTGGGATCCAATTACTTTGAAAAGGGCTTCAGTCAGCGTCTTGTTACCTAATGGTGGAACATATTTCTAAGAATAATCCTGTCAACAGAAGTGTGACAACACACTGTCTCATATTGTATCATTCAATATCACGCTCTCAAATTCACCTCACTTTTATCGAAATCTGTCAAACACTGCAGCACTGTGTGATGATACCTCACCATTAGAGGTATCAAACCATAACTGGTGGTATTTGTCATGTGTCAGACCTACATATACTGCAGAGGCATCACTCTAAATGGATTGGGCAACTATCCACTGTTTCACTCTGAGGTTTCAGATGCTAACATGCTGCATGTATTCCTCACAAACCATTTTGTATGCAAATTTGTCTGGTTTAGTACACTGTGTAAACAAAATAATTCCAGTGTTATTTGTCTAATACATAGCAATTACACTCCTTACTTACTTCTGTTAGCTAAACCATGTAATCAACTCTCATCTATCATGGTACTGTGAATAAAGAGCCAGAGCTGGAAGATCCTCCCATACAGTTTATATCCCATCTCAAGTTTAGATTCATTTTAAAGTTTATCCATCATTGCAACTATGAAATATGCTGAAATGAAATGTCATTGCATTTGTGTCTATGAGAATTGGACAGAAACTGTTCACGCTTGAGACCAACTCAGATCATGTTATGTCTTTGGAAACGGCCAAGGAGGTCCAAGTCACCCAAGTGTCTGTTATCAAAAAGAGGCCAAAACAAGACCAAAGGTGTAAACCCTGCAGTGATAAAGCAGGCTCTGGGTACAGATTCGGAGCAGAGCAACTACAAATAAAGTCAAAACATCCTCATCCCCACGCGCTTTCAGACAAAGGATATTTGGCGTCCGTGTTTGTCGACTGACAGTGGCCGGCGGTGAGGAGATGTGATGCGGTTCCGGTCACGGTAAACACGCTCCACCAGCCCGTGGTGCCTGGTTGTCCGACTGGTATCCAGCACCGAGTTCTAGAGTGAGCACACCAGGTGAATGAGGCCAGCAAAACCACTTACTCACACAGCAAAACTGTCTTTGGATAATGTCTTAGGATTAATGGTGCAAATGTGTTCATTTCAAAATGAGTCAAGCCATGGGCCCCCCATACTGATGCTCGAGTTGGCAAATGTATTTAAAGATGGAAAGCCGTGACAAGCAATGATATACTTAAAAATTTTGGAACCAAATTACACTGCAGGGTAGAACTGGTATGCCTTGTAGTACACTTCATTCATCCTTTCATTCTTTCACTCTTGAACCAAGATAAAACCGGTCGGACCTTGCAGCTTTGACCAGCAGGTCGTTTCTGGACACTTTACTACCGTCATAACCTAAGCTAAGCCTGCAGACTTTCTTTAATTGCTTTATTCACTGTTTTGAGCCAATCTTTCACCAATACTACAGATAACTGCAGCCTTTGTGTGTCCAATATTATCGCCAACAACTAAAAAAGGTACACTGTTCGAGAACAAACCTTTGATTTACCAGCCGAGAGGCTAAGGGCTCACCTGAAAAGGCAGGTCAATGTTGCCATTTCCAATCTGATTGACATTGGGCAGTGAGCCTCCATAGTACTGTCCACGATTCTGCCCTAGTTGCAAATACTGGGTCTTCTGTAACTGCAACTGTGCAAAGTAAAATTGCATGAAAGCATGAGTGAATGACTGATCTGATTCACAAAAAAAGTGATGCTAAAAATGAATGACGCCTGCCAGTCCACAGTGGTGAAATGAACGATTAATGATTTCATTAACTGACAGACGAAACATGATGAGACAGGCAGATGTGGCTGTTTCATGAACAATCAAGAGGCAGACAACATCTTTCATAGCAAATAAAGACCACATCAGCTGATGTGAGTGACACCTGACTGACAGCTGGTGCAATTACAGATCAGACTTTCCATGTAACACATCTGGCTAGTACATCAGCCACACGTCTTCATAGAGAAATCAGTCACAAAAGTCATGTATGTCATTATGTGTGACATGTGATGGAAGGCCTCTTCTACCAATAATGAACTGCAGTAAGATTGATCTGAACAAATGCAATGGACGGATGTTTGGATGGAAACACAAAGAAATCTGGCAGAGACCACAAATCTGAGAGAAGTTAATTCAATTCTTCTCCATGCAGTAAATGACAGTACAGCTCAGGTTTACACTGATGCAGCATGTGCTAAGTGGGCATCATTTCCAGCAATAGGGCCGACAATTAGCCCAAACGTTTCCTGGCAACAAGCTGTTCCTTTTTGTGGTACATTGAGCTGGAACGACTACTTGATCAATTGACTGACCAAAAATTGGCAGCAATTTTGATAATTGATGAATCATTTTAGTTACTTTTCAAGTTGAAAAAACATTGCCTTGTTTCAGCTTCTAAAATATTGAGATTTGCTTCGTCACTGTGTTTTATATGTTTGTTAACTGAATGTTATTGGACTATAATCCAATAACTTTTATTTGAGGAAATTATAATGGGCATGTTTCCCTATTTTATGATACTTTATAGAGGAAACTAGGGCTGCAACTAAATTATTTCAATTATCAATTAACCTGTAGATTTTTATTTTGAATAATAAAATAAATTGTTTTGTCTATAAAATGTAAGAAAATAGTGAAAAATTCTTATCACGTCTGAGCCCAAAGTGACATCTTAAAATTGCCTGTTAACTTACAATAATAAGCAGCTAGTCCCATTTTAGCAGCTGGAACCAATGTCAGTTCTTATCAATTGATTACTTAAATTATGAAAATCACTTATTTTATATCAATGTAATAAAGGACAAACCAAGTACTCTTTCCAGCTCTTGACTAAACATGGGATGATAATAATCAGCAGGTTTATTGATAATGGAGCTGGAACATAACTCAACAGACAGAAAATGAATTGGTAGTTTCTGATAAATGAATAATTCAATTAATATCAGTTATTTTTCTCAAGCAAAAACGACCAACCTTTGCCTCCCAACTTCTCAAATTTGAGAATCTACTGTTTCTTTGTTTTTTATCTGTCCTACATAATAGTAAACCAAATATATCTGTGTTTTGGGCTGTTGGTGGACCAAAACAAGATATTTGAAGACATCGTGTTGGGCTGTGGGATTACAACGGTCATTTTCTACAATTTTCCAACATTTTATACACAAATAAAACTGTTAGTTGCAGCCCTGGTGGTTAACTCATCTGTTTACCATTGTTGAGAGAAAGTTGACAAAGTTATGCTGACTTAACGTTAATGTACACTGACTAAACTAAACTGTTAGAGCTAGGAAAACAGACATGTGAGCCATTTAGAGCTGACTTTATTTCCGACAAGTCTGATGTTTGCTTATTGTTAACAAATAGCTGCCGAGCTAGTGTAACGGGTAACGTTAAGCTAGTAGTAGATGGTTAACCTAAAGAGGACAGTCACTGGTTATCACATACGATCCCTCACAGAGATGCCGCTCCTATGCAGTTTCTAGCAGCTGACTTTCCAAACATGTTATTATACTGTGATTTACATGCCAGCCGATGTGTTTGCTAATGAAATGTCAGCTGCTCAAACCATCCACATACAAGAGCACAGGTGCACACTACACAGGCTAGATAAGCTGGTTAACGCTGCACATGCTATACCCTGAAGAAGGCCAGGGTGCTTTTTTTTTTGCAGGCAGGGTGAAAACGTGATTTTGTGGTGTTGCACCGGTGCAGATAACATTGAGGACGTTAATATTAACTTTAGCCACTTTAGCATCCCAACGTTCAGATTTATCTCCGCAGCGTTCGTTAGCTGCAAAAACAGCGATGTAACAAAATGTAAACAGCCGGGGGTGTGCGCGTCTTACCCGTGCTGCTCTGGTGATGTTCAAGTCTTTCATCACTTCTTCAAACGCAGCAGTCTCCTCCGCCTGTTTCTGATTATGCAAAGCGATTTTTTCGCTAAATTTGCGAGGATTGTTAGAGGACGCCATCTTTCCCTCTTCTTCTCAATGGAATGTTACGTTACGCACTACGCCTGGGCCTTGTTGTGTCGTCATTGCGCACGGTCAGCGTATCTGCTATTTCGCCTTTTGCCTCTGCAGCTGTTGCCAGTAGCCCAGGGTTTGTTGGTGGGTGAGTCTCCAATGAAACAGCACAAACATGACTGGACTCTCCTCCTGAGGAACACCGGGGGCAAAACTTTGTTGTTGGGCCCCTGTTGGTGCCCACTATACAGTTTCACGATTTCCCCAGGGACCCAGTAACCGATACTGAAAATTTTGAGAACCCCAAAAGTCTTTTTTGAGCAGAAATGCCAAGAGTTCAAGGAACATTCTTGGTACAAGCTTCTCATATGTGAATATTTGCTAGTTGCCCCAGTTTTCTATCACAGTAATATCAATATCCTTGGGTTTTTGACTGTTGGTCAGTAAAAATTAAAACAATTATTGCCTTATATGTTATTTTGGGCTTGAACAATCGACAAGCGATTAGAGAAAATAAACGTGACATGTATTAATAATGAAAATAATTGTTGGTTGCAAAATTACAGTACCCCTATGATGGAATAATAGACCTTTCCCCAGGGTTTCTGTAATTAACACTAAGAAAAAAATATAATAAGGTAGTTGGCTAAAAAGACGGAAGTGTCATGCCGGGGAAAGATTTTACACAACCTGGCAAACCATATGTTGCTATCCTCTAATCCTAACCATTAATAATGTTCATTAATTATAGCTTAAACAACCCTTTATTAATGGCAACAATAAAGTAGACATGGATATTTACACATCAAATAGAAAAAATGAAATGAAGTGAGGTAAAAATCATTATTTAAAGTAGAACAGTTACAGTGTTTCAAATTATAAGCAATTAATGAACTGCACTGAAAGGTGCATCTGTGTCACATATGTTACAAATCACAGGCATTTAAATGTGTATGAATGTTTGGAAAACACTGTATGAACTGTATGAAGTTCTGATCACACCAGTAGGAAGTGCAAGTAGGAAATGTAGTAAAAAACAGTTGTAGGAATATAAACAGTGGTTTAAGACCGAGATGCATGATTATACTCCCTTGGCAGTATTCAGTATGAGTGTCATTTGTACAGACTGATGGCCACACACATCAGTCAGCAATCAGTGGTGCATCTTGGTGGTATTAGCTTATTGTGGAGGATGCTACTTTATCCATGCAGAAAAGATTAAGGGGTGAGAAGTATTGTCTGTTTCTCAGTGGATTGAGCTCCATCATTCTCTGGCATTTCCACAAGAGAATCAAATTCCATTTGAACAGCATAAATCCACCTTCTATAGTTTTTCGAGTTCTTGCTACACACACCAAAATTACCTAAGATTTGGTTTTAGGACATCTAGGTTATAGTATAATAGGCTTTTATAGTTTATAGAACAGCAACAATGTTCTTGCTGTTACACTATATTCCCTTTTTTTTTATTTAAAATTGTACAATTGCTGGGCCTGGGGAAACTTGTGTTCTGGTGGATTAAGGTAAATACAATATAATTGCAAACTCCCTAGTTTGACTTTGATCAGGACCCTTTGTTGCATGTCATACCTCTCTCTTTCTGCCCCCATCTCTTACACCGTCGCTGTCTCATAAAGGCAAAATGCCCAAAAAGACCTTTAAAAAAATCACAAAGCATCTGAATCCTAAAATCAACTTAGCCGATGTTTGGTTGTAGAAGGTTGAGAAGCACATATAAAATCCTTGAATGTGTTTGGTGGTGCTGTAGCTTATACATAAACAAGAATCAGGAGGGTGAGAAAAAGTAAGTGAACCCTTACCTCCCTTTATATATAAATTTGTCCTAAAATATGCTCAGATCTTCATCCAAGTTATGATTATGAACAAACACAGTCTATTTGAACTAATAACATACAAATCATTGTGTTGTTCTTGTTTATATTGATAATGCCACTCAAACATTCACAGTGTGGGCTGGAAAAACTATGTGATCCCTTCGCTAATGACATCAATAAAAGCTAAGTGGAGTCAGAAGTTATCAAACATGGTGTCAGTCAATGAAAAAAGATTGGAGGTGTGGGTTAGAGCTACTTTGATTTATAAAGAAATACTTTTTAAATACATTTATGAGTTTGCCATTCACAAGAACGATCTGCTAATGTGAACCATACCTCCCAAAAAAAAAAACAAAAAAAAAAAACAGATTGCAGAAGACTTACGATGAAATACTGTTGATGTGCAAAAAGCTGAGAGGGTTACAAAGGCATCTCAAAGAGTTAAGATAGTCATCATTCCAGAGTTAAACAAACTGGCTATAAATGGACACGATTTAGTTCTGTGGCTACTCTCCCTAGAAGTGGACGTCCAGCTAAGATGACTCCAGAGACACAACACAGAATGATCAGTGAGGTAAAAATGAATCCCAGATCAACAGCTAAAGGCTTAAAGGGACCATTGGAGCTGGTTTAAATCTTTGTTCATTATTGTACCACGAGCAAATCACGGTGCATGGTTATATGGAGCATGGTGGCCGGACACCACAGAGTTAAGGCGCTGCTGCACCTTGACATTCCACGTGTCAAGGTGCAGCCTTTGCTGCCTCTGCACCTGGACAGCTCGACATCATCAAGTAGAAAATAAAAATTCCCATGGACTATGACCCTAAACATCAAAGCAAATCTACTACAAGACGTTTTTCTTGGATTTAAAAGAAGTATAATTTTTTCTATCAGGCAAAACTGCACAGTACTTTGTCAGTGGCAATGAGTGGACACAAACATTTCAACTTTTATGATGTGACGCAGCGCTTCAGTTGGCTTGTGTGCGTCATCTTCTCAAACTAGAAAAACAAAAAGCACGTGAAGGATATTTTTAAAATATGATACACCTTTAATAAAGGATGCACATAAAGCTACACAAATGTCTACATTCCCCTTTGACTACAGTGCTTTCTTTTATATTGCAGTTCAACAATGTAATGTGCTTTTACTGGTACAGGTAGAACAAGACAAAGAAACACTAAGGCAAACAGGAGACAGTTTTAAAATGGACACTCCTCGCCATCATACAGATGGTCACATTTAAAAAGGAAATAAGAACTTTAAGCTTGTTTCTTCCTTATACACACATTAAGTACAGTTATAACTTCAGCAGCAGAATCAGATGTCTGATAGATACTGCTTAAAAGTGCAGCAAGGCAGTCAAATAAAAACACAAGTCAGTATCAGCCATGACAAATACTTTGAGCATGTTTACCATGTAAGTTACAGATTTGTGAGGGTTTGAGCAACAGCTCAGTAGTTACATTTTTTTTTTTAAAAGACAGTTATCCCCTGCAACATTAAATGTTACTGTGCTTGGGACAGAAGCATGTACTGAATGCAACATGTAGCACTTGTTTAACATAAAAAGCAGCACACACTGACATTCTAATGGACACAAACATCAAAGATTTATGTTGCTGCGTTAAGAGGTCCACACTGGTTTGTAACGTTGACTGAGGGGCGAAAGAAAGAACATTAACACCATAATGTGGAATCACTGATTCGAAGTTGAGACACATCCAGTGCTTGTGTTTATTCGTGCAATCAATTCTGTGCATTGGTATGTGGTTTGTTGATCAGTAAATTTTAGGAGACGTGTAAAAACAGTTAAGATTATCAGTTATCTTTTTTGGTAGAATAATAAAACAACAAATAAAAAAAATATACACACACACACAACTGTACAATCAAAAAGTCCAACATTATAAAGGTTGAGTCTCTTAATACCTTTGCACAGCAAATTTTAACTCAAGGCCTTCACTCAAAGATGCGATTATCAAATCAAACCTACTCTGATAAAAGGATAGGATAAAATCAAAGAGCCTCTTTGTGCCGTCTGAAACTTAAGCCCTTGATTGGTGAAACAATAACACTTTCATAGAATTACTAATAGTTTGTAATAACGTGTTATAATTTTTGCTTATGCTATTCTAAAAGAGAACCTATATCTTCAGTTCATTTGTCAGTGATTTTAGATTTTCCAAATAGGCAAGTGTACAATAATCAAAGACTGATTATATGTTATAAAAAGACTGATTATACTGTATATTATGTCATAGCTGACTGAAAATCAGACTGGCAATAATATATCAGTCAATCTGTTATTTAAACAGGAAATTACTCTGAACATCATCTTGCTAAAGGCTTTTCCACAGGAACGTATCAAAATGTGTTGGTGAATAATGACAAACTCTCAAATCCTGTAATTCAAAAGTGTATTATAAAAGTGTCCCAACATAAAAACCCTTTAGAGTTTTCATATGATGGTTTGCTCATATCAATGAAGGTCTACCTCTTGATTAGACACACCTCACCCAAAGCAAAGATAGAAAATAATACATTATTTTGTGTAATGCTGCTTCGTAGCTTTTCAGGTCATTCCCTCAAATAAACCCCCCACACCCACACTAACATCTTATATTATGTTCACACCTAGTGTCGAGTCAGTGTTCGGCAGAAAGAGCACACGGAATAAAATCTTCACAGTCACAGGTCTGGCAGTTAGCGTTGTGTGGTGTTTTGTGGAAGTATAATCGGCGTACAAGCGATGCCAGCAAAAGATTCTGGGAAGTGCAAATCCCTCTCCCACTCATCTGTCTCTGTGTTGTACACCTGCACGATGCTTGTGACGTTGTTCAGGTGCCAGTTGTAGCCTCCAACGATGTAGATCTTCCTGTCCAGTAAGCAGCAGCCTGCCTCGGACTGCCCTGCCCTCATGGGACTGACAGTGGTCCACTGGTCGTTCTCTGGAATGTAATACTCGACGGCCAGCACATCAAAACAGCGGTCCACATGGTCCATGCGACCGCCCAGTGCATAGACCCGATCCCTGCTGCTGATCATGGCATGCAACACTCTGGGTTCATTCATGGGAGCTCTGAAGTCCCACTGGTCTGATACGGGATCATAGCAGTGAAGAGTTTTTTTGTCATCCAGTGAGACGCCGTAACCCCCTGAGATATA